TGTATAATCCGCTTCATGATCAAATACGAGAATAAATGAATTAGTGGAAATTTACGGAAGTGAGTAGGTGACCTTAGGCATGCGTCGCACAGGTGTAGTTGCCGTGAGCTATATTTTGAGCACAATCAAAATGACCCTCCAAGGCGATATTGATTTTGTGAATAGAAATTAAATATGCCGGCCATCTAGTCATCCAATTCGAATGATCTTTTTTATTTTGTAGAGCTCATTTAGCTCCACAAAATAAAAAAAAAGTTCATTCAAATTGGATAACTAGATGGTTGGCAAATTTAATTTTTATTCACATAATCAACATAGCCGGAGGTCATTTTCCTAGCAAAGATCCCATATAGATTTTATCAGGGACCAAAAATGTGGCTTAGTAGCAATGGACAATGTCTTTTTCAGTGCATATCATACGTAGTGCATAGAATTGATCGACAAAATCGATACGTTTTTACTACGTAATAAATTACTATCAAAGTAAGAAAGTGTTCGAAAAATTGATTCAACGAACATACTACCAATTTTTTCTGCCAATCTTTGTAATGAACAATTGTCATAGTGTAGCTAAAAGAAGTTACGGTCAAAAAATTTTAATTAAACATTTTTAACTATTTACAACAGCAGTAATTTTTTCTTTTGTTTTGCAATAAATGTTCTTGCTAAAAGATGTACGTGCATTATGAATTGTCTTATAATATGGGCTAAGTGCTGAGAAAAGGGACCAAATTGACAATTTTTTCAAATGACTTTTTTTTACATAAATCAATTTAGAATAAGGTTAGGGTCACTTTTCGCTTAAAGCACTTAAGTAGTTGTATTAATAAAATTTTTGCAGTATAGCTATAATTTATTATAAGATTTATAACATAAAAATTGATTTTCCGAAGATCTTTGTTTTGTCAATTTGGGCCCTTTTCAGCACCTAGCCCATATTATAATAGACTTTCGTGATAGATTTAACATTTTTAAGATTTGGTTAAAAAATCTTGTCGGATATGTCATGAGCGCAAAAATATTTAACTTCTAAATAAAGATTTAGAAAAAATATTTCTTCTAACGTATATTGTGATGACATTCGTAAAAAAATGTGGTGTTCTTACAACGAATGTCAAATAATTTCTATGCAAATAACTTCTGTATTTACAAACAATGCATAGTAAGGCGTAATTTTCAAACCTTTAATAGTTTCTATTTCATAAGTAGATTTGCCAGTGAGAATTCTAGAAAACCTCAATATATATTCTTAATTAGCATACAAACCCATTTTTTACGTCATGTCTTTTTAGATAATCGTAGAATTATTTTCTCCGATCATCTATTAACTATTAGTAAATAAAATAAAAAAATCCAGTTAGCTAAAATTGATATAATTTTCTAAATAAAGTTACGTAGTAGCATCAAAATGATATTTACATAATAGCTTAATAAAAATTTTATAGTCATATATTCAATACTTAAAAAATTTGTATTTTATACTTACGACCTAATAAATAATTAATCATTATAACTAATTAGAATATAAACTATTATAAAATATTTATAAAAATATACTTACAATCTATTTGTTAATTAAATATAATAATAATTAGCGTATTTACTGTATATTAAAGAAATTATATATCAAAGATTTATTTTACTTACCACCTAAATTTAAAATTTGTATAAAATTATTAACAAACCGAAAAATTAACAAGATTATCTAAATTTATACTTACAATCTAAAAAATAATAAAATTATTAAATTTGAAATATATTATGTAAAAGCAATTATAAAATTTATACTTACTGCCTAATAATAAAAAATACTTATATAAGCCAATATACATATTTATAAAATTTCTATATGAACAAACAATATACTTACAATCTAATTGTTTAGTGAAATTTTATACAATAATTTTAATATTAATACAATATTAAAGTAAATCATTATAAACATTGTATAAAAATAAATTATACTTACTTTCTAATTATTTATAAACAATAAAAAATATATATTAGTTGTAACAAATTAATAAATTACTTATAAATTTAAATTTACCTCCTAAAAATTTAATAAAATACAGATTTAATTAATTAAATACAATATTCTAATTAATTAATGTTTTAAATATTAAACTTACCTCTAGCAGCTTAATAAAAGAATTTGAGTATATACATATTAATAAATTATAAAATGTATATTATGCTAAATAAATTATTATGATCTTAGTTTAAAATCTCAAAAACTAAAACTTACCAACTAACAATTAAAAATAAATATTATTAATTACAAAGTAAGTTTAAAATTTTAGCTTAAAATAATAAAATTTTAATAATTAGAAGACTATACCTACCCCCTAAAAGTATAGTTATAAACTTTATTTGAAATTCTAAGTTAAAAATAAATCACAAAGTATTTGAATACTTACAAGCTATACAAATTAATTTATAAATATACAAATTAAATTATAATTAGTAAATTGCAATTTATGCATTATAATTTAACAAATAGTATACCGTTATTGAATGCTACGCATTAATAACTTATCTGGCTTCAATTTAATACTTCATCTCTGACACAAAAGTTGATATATTAAATTTAAACCCAAACCAAATAATGGATTATTTTTACAAATAACATCCGTTATTGGCTTTTTCGCATCCAATAACTATATAATACATAAAGATTTATACTTACAGCCTAACAATTTGATATATAGTAAAAATAACCGGTAAGTTTTAAGAATTATTATTTAAATATTAAAGCTTTATACTCACCCGCTAATTATTTATTTAAAAATATTAATAATACTGTATAAATTAACCATAAAACAAATATACATGTATTAAAGTTTATACTCACGGGCTAATAATTTAATTATAGAATTATTAATTAATGTTATTAAAATAATGCTTTAACGTTTATATTTACCGGCTAATAATTTATTAATTAATTGATAAGTTTTAAGATTAAAATTTAACGATATACAGTATAATTAATATTAAAGTTAATACTTACTTTCTGATAATTAACAACATATGTAAAATATCAATAAATTTTAAAAATTATGATTTAATCATTTGCGATAATTTATACTTACTAACTAATAATGTATAATTAAAATGCCAGTTAATAAGTTTAAGAATAATAATTTAAAATAAATATTCAAATTTATATTTACTTTCTAATAATTCATAATAAAATGTTATTAATTTTAAGAGTTATTATGTCTTTAACAATTTAAAGCAAATAACAAGTTTAATATTTACTTTCTAAAAATTAATAATAAATAATAATAATTAACAAGATTTAAAAAATTGTAATCTAACAATTAGGATAAATATATTTAGGTTATACTTACTGCCTAATACATATTTTAATATATAATAAATATATTAATTAATAAAATTTAAAATCAAATTTAACGATTGAAAATAAATATATTAAACAGTTCGTACTTACTATCTAATAAATTAATAATAAAATGTTATTTAGCAGGTTTTAAAAAATTATAATGTAGCAATAGCGAATAAATATATTTAAACTTTATACACACAGTCTAATAATATAATAATCAAATATTAATAAATATTAAGAATTATAATCAATTATTAACAATAAATATATACTTACTATCTAATTATTTAATATTGAAAATACTAAATTGATAAGTTTTGAAATTTAACGATTAAAATCAACACATTAAACATTTATACTCACAGGCTAATAATTTAATTTAAGAAAAATTAATAAATTGTAAAAATTATAATTTAACTAAATAAAAAGATATAAAACTTATACCTACAGTCTAATAATTTAATAGTAAAAATATTGATTAATGGTTTTAGTAATTATAATTTAAGACAATTTCTATTGTACACTCGCTACGCATATACATGGGCAATATAGAATGCAAATTAAAATACAAGATCGGGTGTAATATTATAATAAAATATTGTTGATAATTAAAAAATTATATTTCAAGCTCGATAATAAATTACTTATAAAATCTTGTTATAAATTATATCCTCAATATTAAGTAAATTTAGTTTGCAATTACTGTATTTAATACCCATGCATATACACCTAATTTAAAGCTTATACTTACATTTACATTCTAATAAAATTGATATAAGATAAAGTATTAGTAAATTATTAAAGTTGATAAATAAATTAAATTTATACATACCAGCTGATAATAAAATTATAGTATATTAATAAACTTTCATCTTTTAAACAATAAATCTTGTAAACTTTATACTTGCAACCTAATATTTTAAGATACAATATAAGCATGTAAAGATAATTAAAAAAATGGGCTACTAATTTATAAAAGTCACTTTGCTGATAATCATTTTCTTGTAAATTTTCATATAGTTTTGTTTGTCATATCCGAAGTAACTACTTATCTGGAGTTGTTACTTTAGATATATAAAATAGCACCTGACTAAAATTACTACTTAATGCAGATGGCAACTCCAGATAGGTGACTACTTGAATACAATATATTCACGTTGTTAGTGAATATTATCAATGAAATATCGGGAAAGTGACCTTCAGGAATAGTTCGCAAAATAAATTAAAGAGTATAATGGTCGAATGCCACACGGTACTTACAATCTAATAATTGATTCAAAGACGTTCATTTATAAGTTATAAACATTGAAAAGGACTGAGAATAAGATTATAGAGAAATATACTTACTGGCTAGTAATTAAAATATAGATGTATAAGTGAAAAGTTGATTCTATAATAAAAAAAAAAAGAACTATCCAAAAACTTACGACCTGAAAAAATATCAAATAAAATTAAAAAAAATGAATTATAATGAAATTGACGGTTGTAACTAAGCATAAATTTACACAAGTCTCAGAAACCCTGTCAGGTCTACATTATAATTTTCGTGTCAAGCGTTTTATACTTACATCCTTTTTAATATAATTGTTAGGATATGCAAAATTGAGTACCAATAAGCAATAATAATCAAAGCAAATTGGATTGACTACAAAAACTAAATATTACTAACTTCCTAATAATTTAATAAAATATATTATAATTTAATTATAATTATATATAGTTAATCACAATGGATTATTAAAATAGGCTTATACTACCTCTTAAATTCGTAGCAGAGAATCTACTTAAAGTCGTAGAAGTATTGTTTCCGCTTAAAGTTACAGCACTTCTACTTAAAAATATATTGTTGCGACTTGAAGTATAGATATGGCCTTCACCTAAATTTGCATTAACTTCATTTGATGTATCCGAAGCATTGTCTTCACTTAACGTTTCAGCTGAAGCGTTTTCTTCATTTAAAGTTGAGGTTGAAAAATTGTCCTCACTTAAATTTGCAGTATTTCTTTGTGGAAATACGTCGTAAGAAACTCTGCGAGGAGGTAAAATTGTTGAAGTAATAGCCCTATCTGGAGTTGCCAATTTTGCTAAAATATCCTCCCATAAATTAGGATCTAATATTTTATGATATGGATATAACTTTTCCATAAAATCTTCTCTAGCAATTTGAAAGTATCGAATATGAGGTAAACAATTTTTCAATGTAGTTTTTAACGCTAAAATATTTTCATTAGACCATTGCGCAGGATCAAAATTTAGGTTACGAGTTTGAGTAATTCCCCATCTAATAACATGATCCCAAATTTTTCCTTCATCCATTCTTAGGTCATCAAGTTTCAAAAGAGAGACCAAAGCTTTTTCGGAAAGATTCACAAACTCTTCGGAATTAAAGACAATATCCGGATCTTTAGCAGTAATATTATTACAAAACTTTTGTAAATCTTTAAAATCATCAATATCAAAACTTATTTTATAAACTTTC